CTCACTCCACCCCATTTCTCTTTCCTCCCGTCAGTCACTTGCTCTCCTTCCCTTCCCTCACCTCTGCTTGTCCTTTCAGAAACCTGATAAGAGACGTATATGTACGTGCCACACTGCTCCTTCCTAAGTAGCCTCAATGTCCATCCACTCTGCCCTCTTAAATACTACCTCTCTCTCTTTCTCTCTCCCTCACTGTTTCCCCCGTCCATGCTTTTAAGACGTTCGTAAAAGGAGGTCTTATTGACAAAACAATCGCTCGGCGAGGCTTAAACACTGCCTTTAAAGGGGCATTATTAAATTGCAGGCAGGAAGGGGAGGGGCAGCCAACAAGGGAAACCTGATGACCCTGCCATCGATTTTTACATCACCGGAGCGTTAGGAGAACTTAGCACAGAGATACTGACTGTAGCTGGAGAAAGAGAAAGTCGACAGAGAAAGGAAGACCTTTTATATGTCACGCTTAGCTGCCGGCCGTATTAAGGGTGGTTTAAATGTGTGAGCAGGTAAAGGGCTGCATTGTTCAAGGACACTCTGATACTATGGCTGCTGTTAGACCTAAATGTGGAACAAGCTGGTACCTTTTATGATCTGATTCCTGCCTGATTTCTTCCTTTAATGATCCGTATATATCCTATATTCATATCACATATGGTAGAAAAACCAGTTATGGTGTTGTCTCATCTACAAATTTTAATATTTGTCACAAATCTGTGTGAAACAATATCCTAAGCTTTGGACTAGCTTACATCTTAGGTAAGTTTTGTTTGTTGTTCAGGTCTGAAAAGGTTTTTATGATTAAACGATGGTGTAATTTAGTTCAGGGTAAAGTTCTGACTTTCATAGGCATTTTCACTGGCACACTTTCAGGCAACTCTGGGTCTGCTCCCATACTACCTATGTGTCTATGCATCGCTCAGAAAGAACTGGAAACTGGAAAAACAAATGTCATTGCTTTTAACTTAACCTGGTTATGAGTCTTGAGTTTTAGTTGTTTTTAATTGTGTCTACTGTTGTGTTTTCTGTCTGCAACTTTGTGGTTTTATTTGTGCTGCTGCCTGTCTTGGCAAGGTGTCTCTTGAAAGAGATTCTTAATCTCAATGGGACTTTCCTTGTTAATTAAAGGTTGAATAAATACTACGGATATTTATTTTGAGTAACGAAGTTGGACTGCAAATACATGTAAGATTTGTTTGATTTTAAGAAGAAGCAAAAATTGTCACTCAGTCTTTCCCAGGCTACTTATCCTCTTGTCTGTGAACATGGCTGCATTGGTTTACTTTATAACACAATTATCTTTCTTTTTTTACTTTTACATTTTTTTTAACTCTAAACCATAATGAGATGTTAACAATTAAAATCTACAGCATGACTTTCAGTTTGTCTTGAAGTAAAATACTGACTTTTCTTTGCCTATCTAAGTTTTCACTTGGTATTTTAGAGAACGCTTTTGCTTATATGACAATATATTTAATGAAGATATAATATGAGGGTATGAGCATAAGTAATGTGTATGTTCCGTTTGTTTCATGTGGTGACTCATCTGTGTGTGTCTGCTGTATGTGTGTGTGGAGGCAAAACACTCCTGTGCTTTGTGTGGATACCTTATGTGTCTAGGAGGTGTGTGACTTTGCATTAATGTGTGTGTATCTGCTGTAAAGAAAACTATGTCGGGATGTGCCCGAGTATTTGCATTTGGGCATGTACAGTATTGTGTGTACATTCTCTATGTATGATTCAGCTGTGCGAATGTGAACGTGTATTACCACACACAGAGACAGACACACACACTTGCTCCATTCAAATTGAGATTCCCTGGTGCAGAGTATTTCTGCCAATAATTCATGAGTGATCTGCGCCCCTTGCCGGCCTTTAGCATTTTTATTTAATCTGCTGAGCCCTACCGCGTGCTCGCTCATCAATAATACACACCGACATGTGTGTTAACACATCTATGGTGTGTGTGAGTGCGTGAGAGAGAGGGAGCGAGGGAGGGAAGGAGAGAGAGAGAGAGTTGTTATTATATATGTGAAAGAAAGCACATTACAGATATGTGAATAAAGAGATTGTGTGTGTGTGTGTGTGTGTGTGTGTGTGTGTGTGAGAGAGAGAGAGAGAGAGAGAGAGCGAGAGAGGAAAGGAGAGTGTGTTCATAATGTTCCGTGCAGTAACATGTGACAGGATTGCACTATGCGTTTCATTTGTCAGTGGTACATGTTTTTCATCGTTAGGTCTTCCCCTGTTGGGACAACAAACATGGATGACCCACGGTTCATCTGCGGCCATTCGATGTGAATTCAATTCACTTCTGATGGTCTGCGTATGACCGTGTAACACACTCCCAGTAAGTGTTTTATGCTTTCTGAAGTCCTCTTTGGCTTGATTTCACAGTTGTAGACCTGATTTGGTGCAAGTGAACGCATGAGAAAATGTGTGTGTGTGTGTCTGTGTGTCTGTGTGTGTGTGTGTGTGTGTGTGTGTGTGTGTGTGTATGTGTGTGTGTGTGTCTGTGTGTGTCTGTGTATGTGCAAGAGTGTGACTCTAAGAGAATTTAGACATGCACACATTTGTGTATAAGTGTGTGAGCGAGTGTGTGTTCTTCAACAGCACTGACAAACAGAATCACAGCTCGGGAAATTGACTTCAACAAATCAGTGGGTCAGGAGGTAACATCACCGGGGGTTGCTATGGAGACACCCAATGACGGGGCTTCCCAATCAGCACAACAACACGCCTGCGAAATGGCAGTTCCCCTAACATAACCTCTCTCTCTCTCTCTCTCTCCTTCTCTCTCTCTCTGATTGTCTCTTTTTCTCTCTCTTTCTTCTTCTCCATCATCTCTTTTCTGTCTCCTCTACCTCCATCTCTCTTCCTCTGCATCACTCCATTCTCCCTTTTTGTCCATTTCTTTGTCTTTATCTCTCTGTCAACCCATCTTTTCACTTTATTGTTTTCCCTCTCAATCACCCTTCCATGCCACAATGTACTGCTCGCTCAAACAACCATGCATGGAAATATGCCTGTGGACAAGCGTATACACACACACACTCAGACACACACACACACTTGTATACAACAAAATGTGAGGGGGCAGCGGGATCCCAGCATGCAGGGTTTAACAGCTAATACCCCTTAGATTAACCACCCCCGGTTCCTCTCTCTCTCTCTCTCTCTCTCTCTCTCTCACACGCACACACCACCACACAACATCTTCCACAAACCAAGATTAACCTCCCACGATTTACACAGTGTGTGTTGGTCTTGCACAAATACACACACGCACACACACCTTCGGGGTGTGTTGCTATCCCCCTACCAATAAAAATAACAAACAGAATGAGAGCACACAGTCAGCCTTAAGTGACCAAGCTACTGTTCATGTGACTGTCTGTCTGACTCACACAAACACACACACACACACACACACACACACACACACACACACACACACACACACACACACACACACAGCTTGGCTTTATCTCAGCTGTAAGAATTGATCCCCCATAGATTTCAGAGAGGTCACGTGATTTGATAACCCCGACAGGATTCCCCCTGGTCAGGAGGCCTTTTACTGCCCGCCTGTGTGTGTGTGTGTGTGTGTGTGTGTGTGTGTGTGTGTGCATTGTTTTTGGCCCGGTATAAAATGAATTCTCCATAGACTGATACACCATACCCTAATCTAACGTCTGTCTGTCTCTGAGGTCTCAGATTGAACAATGGCTGGGAATAATGTTAACATCATTAGACTGCTGGTAATGGGGATTTATCGTGTCTCATCTCTTTCTCTCCCTCTCTCCTTATCTTTCTCTCTTTCTCTTCATCTCTTTTTCACTCTGTCTGGCTCTTTAACTCCCTCTCTCCTGCTGCTGCTCTTTGCCTTTCTGCAGTCTCCACTTTCATGCGGGTACCTACCAACTGACTGATACTTTCAAGGATTATTTTAAGGGCCGCTCAGATCAAACACCCTCTGCCTGGGCCCTGCCTCAGTTACCCAGACTCCAGCCCATTTAATTAGACATGGCTAATAACACTAAGCATGTGCTGATAGCCATCTCTCTGATAAGACTAGCCGCACAAGGACATAGGGCCCCTTTCTACCTTTTACAGTGCTACCTAAGGTTAAAACGGCTAGTTAGCAACCTTATTTTATGGCCACGGCCAGTCACGCTTGTGCCCAATTAACAGGCTAGTTGGCACTTACAGAACATTAATTGGCAAAGGCAGGTTAGCAATCAGGCTATGTACCTCTACGATAGGAGCCTTGCTAACAAGGATAACTTCACATGCTACTTTTATTAAGAAAAAAGTACTAAAAAATAATGTGTAAGAGGATATATGGTCAGTCAACACCCAATAAAATGACTTTCAAGAGTAATGATCAGAGGAAAATAAGCAGCTGCTGCTGTAATGTAATGACACAAAGTAAGTGCATGTTACAGTCATTTTTTGGTTTCTAGATTAAAGATTGAAGTGGAAGTAGCTGCACGACTATGTCAGAAAAATGAACTTTTAGGATAAAAGTTAATAGATGCTAGTTTTATCACAAGTAAACGGTGAGCGAGATGTTCTCATTTGATTTAAACAAATGTAAAAGGTGCTACAAAAACCCACAAACCCAAAAATAAGTCAGCCAAAGTAAAATCCTATAATTAGTCTCAGAGCTACCACTTTTCCAGTAATCATTCCTGTATAACTTGTGCATGTTGGATGTTTTTATTGGATGTTTTCAGAATGTAGTTTGACTCTTAATTAACATGGATGCTCATGTTTGGGCTGAGTTAGGCTGTTGGTCTGGAAAATCACTCCAGGCCATATCTCTTTAGATGGATTGATCTAGATGAGGATGATTCGGTAAGTGGTGTGTGTGTGTTTCTGCGTGTGTGAGTGAGGGATGAAAATAGGGGTGGAGTGGAGGCATTAATTCCAATCATTAAGAACTGGGATAGCCTGGGGGGTCGAACCCCTGAAATCGACTACATGTAAACTCTGAAAAGACTTACCAGTTGTTCACTTGTAGGATGGTGAGGCCTGTGTCTTGCGCCAGCTGTTTCTTCTGTTCTTCTGACGGGTAGGGATGCTGCACGAGACAGAGACAACTCGTATGAGAAAAGGCTGACCACAAATTGTTTAATGAAGCTTCTTGTTAAAAACAGGGGTCTGATGTGTTTTTTAGTAGAGAGAGAGATGTTGCAGGGCACAGGTTACACACACACACACACACACACACACACACACACACACACAACCATACTGCATAATGAGAGGTAGAAAATAAGACGTGTGCTCATGCTCACTGGTGCGTAGGTGTCAGCATGTGACTGTGTCTATGTCTATCTGAATGTATACTGTAAGCATGTGTGAGTGCGTGCACGTTAACGTGCCTCTCTCCCCCCAATCATTAATGGAATATGAAATCTTGTAATTAATGGCAGCCAAAAAGGCAAGCCAATTAGAAAGTTAAGTGAAGTGGAGAACCAGCTCTGGTAATTAGGCAGCCTCTTACACAAATATATTCGCGTCGACGGCCCCCCTTTCACCTCGCTGCATATGTAATCAGTGAGCTGGGAATATGTAATGTTAACCCGATGGAATACAGACAAGAGAATGTAAAATCTCTTGTCTTTATTGCTGCTGGTTGCTTTTATCCTTATTGCAGTTGGTGCAATAACATGACTCTGTTAAGTTTGCCACTTTGCTGGAATCATTTCTCCAGGCACAGATTGTAAGAAACCTTAAGTACAGAGAGCTTAGGTTTCATTATTTTGAAAGGACCACCAGCTTATTATAGAAACAGGAATTTCCCCAAAATCACACATTGCCATGTCAGCAAGTAATTTAATCTAATTTTGAGTCTTTTAAATCTTAAATGTCTGCCACTGGGAGGGTAACTATGTTACACAGTGTAAATCAATTTAATCTTTCATTTAGTTTTTATCTTGTCTTAACTGTCTACATTTTTTAATCAGGCCTCATCACCTTGATATTAGAGGCTGTCACTTTTTCAGGAATTTGTTCAAGATTAGGGAAAATGATGATTTGCACTAATACAAGATAGATGACCTTTTCTATGATTATTTCTATTTATTTGAAGGCTCATAAATATGACAGATGAATACACCATAAACAACTATTCAGCTGTTGGAAAGACAAACCAAACTGACCCAGTGTTTAAATATAAAGTACTCACTCCGTCCCTTCCCCGAGCAGACAGCTGACAACAGTTAAAGTTGAGCCACCTGTTTAAATATATAGAATGAATAAATTGGATAAATGTGAACTTGGGGAGTGTGTTGATTTATATTAGAGTGGGGGGGGGGGGTCCCAGATGCACGGAGCCTTGTTCATGGAGGACAATGTGCTGTTCATGACTGAGACAAGACATGGACTGTGCTGAACACCATAGGCAGGCCATAAAAGCGGAGGAGAGGAGGGAGGAGCAGAGGAGCAGAGGAGCGAGGGGGAGAATAGATTGTTGAAGGGATAGCACTAACTGGACAACTATGTATATTGCAAAATGCTATGTATACATTTAGGAACGAAAGAAGAGATACATGAATAGATTTAAAGTTCAAGACGATCACGAAATACGGCTCGATGATCCATTCTACTGAAGTGTTTTCACTTTGCCAACCAGAGGTGTGAGTCATACCCACCGATTTCTGTCACATTACAGAGAAGTAGCGTTTTCTAATTCTCCACGTCTGCTGTGTCATTTCAAACAATAAATGACAAAGGAAAAAAAAAAAAAAAGAAAGATATTTTAGGAAGATAAGTTTCGAAGGAGCAGCAGCCATTAACAGAAGTCTAACCCAGTGATTCCATCAATACCAACAATTCTGTCTTTATTTATAAAATAAAACTCGCAAATCCTTGAATTTATATATTTGAACGATAGAAACCGGCTATACAAGACAAGACCCTGACATTTATTCAGTTATCATTGCACGTTATGCTGACCAACAGTAGTTGCCACTCATATGGCTTCTGTATAGTACATCTACCAAGAACACACACAGACACACAGACACACACACACACTAAATAGTCAATCAGACGTGCAAAATCAGTGCGGCGCCAGTGTTTTCATTTTTTCATTACAGTTTTTTCGGCGCATAATGAGCGGGATTGTGTTTAATACTGGGACAACCCAGCGGAGAGAGAGAGTAGACAGATTTTTCTTTTCCCAGCCTTCCCTTGTCCATGTGATTGGTTGTGGGGAATGGGAACACAAGGAGGCTAATTTCACGCGCTAAGTTATAATTGCATTGTTGCCTCTGGCCAAATGTGTGTCCACTTCTCTTCTACAACCATTTTTGTGTGTTTGTGTTTGTATTCATACGTGTGAATTATCTGTCCACTCATATGCTATGTGTGTGTGTGTGTGTGTGTGTGTGTGTGTGTGTGTGTGTGTGTGTGTGTGTGCAAGTGTCTTCCATACTACAGACTGATCAGATAATATCAGAATTAAAATAACTGCAGCAAATCTGGGACGCCACTCGCCTCCCTGTGTGTGTTGAAAGTGAGAAAACATTCTTTAGGGCTCGTGTCATGTGATGTGTTGACGCACTGAGCGCTTTACATACAGCCACCACACACACACACACACACACACACACACACACACACACACACACACACACACACACACACTGCTGTCATATTAAAGCTAATCATGTGAATAACATGTCTTTCAAGTCTTTCCTTTCAACAACAAACAAAGTTGATTGAACATGAAAACATCAATGTGTCCATTCTACGTGTTGTAGATCTGTGGGAGCAGGAGTGTCTGCCTCGTGATATATGGGGGCTGCGGCCATGCCAGCGGCCATAATACAGCACAAATACACCCTGTTTCAATGCTTCCGTCCCCCTAGCTCCTCAGCACACACACGCAGACAGACAGATATACACAACTAGTCACACACAGACAGACGCACACACACAAAAATCTCAATCTCAGACAGCTGGGAGAAAAATGTGCCTGCTGCCATGAGTGTGTTCTCTCCAACACACATCCTGCCCGAGGTGAAATGTAACCAAGTATATTTACTCAAGCACAGTTTTGAGGTTCTTGTATTTATATTACTCGTTACAGTGAGCTATCCGACAGAACATAATGTTGTTTCACTTTAACACCAACTACATGAATGCATCAGTAATAACTTCACTGTATAAGATGTAATAATGTAACACTTACAGATGCCATTCTGCTGCATCATGAGTCCTGTAACTTTTGATATTTCGACTGCAGGACTTTTACTTGTAATGAAGTGTTTTACATTGTGGTATTACTATTTTTATCCAAGTAAAGGATGTGAAAACGTCTTCCACCACTTCTTCCTCCTCTTAATACAACCTTCAAATTGATACATGTGCCAGAGTTTTCACGTTAATGCAAGAGTTACCAGGAAGAGCTGCCCGGAACATCCAAACTGTTTTCGTCCTCCTCTTTTTCTAAACCGCCAAATTAGCTCCTATCTGTCAAAACACTGTGATTTAGTTTCTTGCTTAGCAGTAAGTCGCCCAGTTTTAATATTGTCTGTGAGTGATTCTGGTCTCTTTTAACGGCCTTTGGCTGTGGTTCAGCGGGTTGAGAGAGAGAGGGAGCGAAAGAGAGAAAGACCTTCAGTGAGAAAAGCAATAACATGTTCTTTAAAAGAGCAGATGGAAAGTTTCTGCGCATCCTTCCCTCCCTTCCCTCTTCCCTCCGCCTATCTTAATGATATGTCTTCTCCAAATATACAACTCCTTTCATGAGAATTTCCACCCTGCTCTCCGCTGAGCCTGTGGGTGCCAGGAGGGGTGTGTGTCTTCACTTCTCTCTCCTCTGTGTGTCTTATCAATCCCAGTGTGTGTGTGAGTGTGCATGCGTGGGTGTGTGCATGCATGTCTGTTATGTTGCGTGTGTCCATACGAGTCAAAGGCTTTGCTTGTGTGTGCCTGTATTAGCAAGTTCATCTGTGCATGGACATGAGAGCGTGTGTGTGTGTTTGTTCTCGCTTGAACCACTGAGCTTGCTGGGCCTACGAGTGAGTTCAGCCGTGCATGGTCATGTGTGTGTGTGTGATTTAGGAAAGATGTGTGTGTGTGGGTGAGTAACAGAGCATCAGTAACATCCCCTCCCTGTCTGACCGTCTTCCTCTCTGACCCCCTCAGACAAGAACAAGAGAGGGACAGATAGACAGAGAGAAGAAGGAAAGAGATGACGAGGGAAGGAGGAGGCAGGGGAGGAGACATGGAAATGGATATCTGGAGCCCCAGGGGTTTAACAAAGAGATAAGAGCATAAATATTCTGCAAGACCCCTCTTTACTCCCCCTGTCCCATGTCTAACCCAGAGGAAAACTATTCTAGGCGAAGTGGTAGAAACAACTGTTCCAGTTACCAATAATGCATTAAAGATGCTACAAAAACAACAGTAAACACATTGCAGCTGTGTATATTAAATATTATATAATATAATTATTGCATATAAAAATATACTCGACGAATGTCCAAAAGTTGCCTGACTCTAGCCACACACTAGCTGAGGCGTGTGTTTCCTCCTTTTTCATTCATGTTTGAGAAACCTGAAGACAGAGTGGTTTCCAGTTTGCTATTGCACAAGGTCATTCCGAGAAGACACGATGCTATTGTGCTGACTGAACCTTCGACCTCTACAGCACAAACTAAACCCACCAAAATATTAATATCATCTGCAGAAGCAACAAGTCGTTGAAACTTCAACAGACAAACAACAAACTTCTTAAAGGTCATGGCTGCCTAATTCTTATTTTTGCACCTTGTAAACCACATAATACATAGCAATAAGAGGCATGGGGGGGGGGCGACACACAAAACAAAGAAGGAGTCTGAGTCACTCTTTTGTCAGGGATGCTCCACTTCACCACAAGGGGAAGGCTATTTCAGAAATGTCTTTTATCTTGCTGCTGTTCTCCTTTCTCTTCATATCACCTCCTCAGCAAAACCAGTTCCATTTTCTGCTCTCTCTCTCTCTCTCTCTCTCTCTCTCGCTCTCTCTCTCTCTCTCTCTCTGCTCCAAATTCACTGACTGTTGACATTTAATTTGGCTTTGGCT